GGGGGGGGGGGATGATGATTCCTCAGATTCTTTTAAGAAGCATCATGATTCCTGCCTCCTAAGGGTTTTTGAGAATCAAAGGAGATCAATAAGAAAACAGCCAGCAACATGGAAAGAATCGCATAAATGTAAATTGTTCTTCATTTTTGTCCAAGCTGCTGGGAGATTGAAAGTCTAGGAGGGTTTTCAAAGATTAAAAAGTGCAATATTGGCTGTCGTGTGAGGTACAAGAAGCAGGCATTCTCTTAGCCGGTGGGTGGGAAGGGAAAGTGGAAAATGTCCATCAAAATGTGAGATGCACTAAACCACCAATTCTAGAAATTTACCCCCAAACATGTGCACAAAAGTGTATTGATATTGAATCATTGTCTAAGATAGCAAAAGCTTGGGATTACCACCACACCCATTAACAGGGGCACGTTAGATTCACGACTGTCCACCCACACAGAGCCATCCCAGGCCACCTTTAAAATCAGTGGGGTGCCGGGTGCCTGGGTGGCTCAGTCAGTTAAGCATCCAACTCTTGGTTTCATCTCAGGTCATGATCTCACGGTTTGTGGGTCCAAGCCTCATGTCCGGCTCTGTAGTACAGTTTGGAGACCACTGGGGATTCTCTTTGCTCTCCCCCGCCCCTCTCCCACTCGCTCTCTCTCAAAATAAATAAACTTTAAAAAAATAAAATCAGTGAGGTGGGTCGTTGCATGCAACAGATTGATATGCCAACATGAAATCATTATGTGAAAAAAGCTACCTGTAAAATAGCACGGTTTATAGTATAATCATATTCTTGAGAAAGAAAGAAAGAAAGAAAGAAAGAGAACGAGAGAACAAAAGAAAGAAAGAAAGAAAGAAAGAAAGAAAGAAAGAAAGAAAGAAAGAACCAACCAACCCAGGGGCAGGGGGGTGGCTCGGTCGGTTAAGTGTCCCGACTTCAGCTCAGGTCATGATCTCACAATTTGTGAGTTCGAGCCCCACGTCCCGCCCGGCTCTGTGCTGACAGCTTGGAGCCTGGAGCCTGTTTCAGATTCTGTGTCTCCCTCTCTCTTCGACCCTCTCCTGCTCACGCTCTGTCTCTCCCTCTCAAAAATAAATAAACATTAAAAAAAGAAAAAACCCAGTGCCTGTAACTATGTAAGTACATGGAAAGTATCTGCGAGAATTTACAAGAAACCGTTAACAAAGGTGCCCTGCGGGGGAGTGAGACTGCAGTGGGTACCTTTAATTTTAGTGTATAACCTTCTGTGATAGATATTTTTATCAGTAATGTTTTTATTGTAACAAAAACTCCCGATTTTTTTTTTTTTTTTTTTTTT